GGGGCCGGCTCTACCCCGCCCCGCCCCCTCCCCCGCCTCTGCAACTTGACCCAGGCAGCGACCCCCTGCTCTGACGTCTCGGAAAATTCCCCCCTGCTCAGGCCCCCGGCGGAGGGGGGGTGCCATGGATGAAATGGGGCTGAGACCCCAGGCTGGGGGTAGAGGAACCCACCAGAGGTGAGTCATGAACTGGGGACTGAATGCCAGGTGTTAGGGTTAGGGTCTCCGGAAATAGCCTCGGCTTCTGAGGGAGGAACTGGGCTAAGGTCCCTACTTCTGGCCTGAGGAGAGTCTGGAGGCCAAGATTCCAGGGTCCTGGGGAGGAGGGAGCAGAGGCCTGGACTCCTGGGTTTGCGGGAAGCAAGGGCTGGGGCCCAGACTTCACGTCCCTAAGTGTCACCCTTCCCGATCCAGAACACTGAGCACAGCACCCATGGACTTGTGGAACTGGGATGAAGCATCACCACAGGAAGTGCCTCGGGGGGCCGAGCTGTCAGGGCCAGGTAGGCTGCTGGAGTGGAGCTGCTACATGTGGGGAAGGTGGTGGGGGGCTCTGCAGGCCAGGCAGCTGACCAGGTCCTGACTTCCTAGTACCGGCAGGAGGGAGCGAATTCCGCCTCTATTTTCCTGAACTGGCTCTGGAAGGGGACATGCTGACAGAAGAGACCTGCTGGAAAGGTGGCTGCCCACAGGGACCCCTCGGTGCTGGGGAAGAAAGGGACAGGCTGGCTTCCTAGGTTTAAGGGAGGAGAGGGGCATGCCTAGACTCCTGGGGCTGAGTGGGAGGGGTCCCGGGTCGGAGTGAATAGCAGCTGGGGGCAATAACTCCCAGTCCCTGACAAATGAAATGGGTGTCTACGGGGGTTTCTCTGGGGCATCACTTACACCTGTCCCTAAACTCTGCAATCGTGTCCCTTGCAGAGTATTCGCAGCTGAACTGGAGGAGCCCCGCGTTGCCGCACCCAGAAGCTCTATGGGGAGCTGGTGAGTGTGTGCGGAGAGACGGCCGAGAGCACGGGAGTGGGGTCCTGAGGCTTCCGGGCTGGAGGCTCAGACTCCAGG